AAGTACAAACTCAAAAAAAAAAAAAAAAAAAAAAAAAAAAACAAAGGGCGGTGTCTACCTGAAGACTGAACTGGTCATGCAAATAGCATTGATCAGTGCAATGAGGTGGAAGTGCTATGGTCTGACCTAACCCTAAGTCACAATCCTCCACCTTTGCCATCTTAGAATACTTAGAATACTTGCAGTGCCATGTAAGGAAATCCAGGCTGGATTCTTGAATGGGAGAGCCATGGGGAGAGAGAGGAACAACCAACAGCCAATGGCCAGCAGCAAGACCCCAGACATGTGAGCGAGGCCCTACCCTAGCTGAGCCTCCAGATGACTGCAGCCTCCTGAAGGAACTGGGGGGAGGGGGTCTCCAGCAGGAGAACCATCCGACAAGCCTAGGCAAGCCATGGATTCATGAGAAATAATAAGGTGTTGCTTCGAGCCACTACGTTTTGGAGTTGTGATATAGCAATGGGTAATGAGAACCCTGCTTTCTTTTCCTTCATAGAATTTATTGCCACCTGACATGCATTTATTTTCTTCCTAGCCAACCAGAATGAAAGCATCTTGAATGCAAGAACTTAACTCTATTTGATATTCTATATACCAGAATGATACCCGGCACCAAACAGGAACTCAACAAATACTTGTTAAATGAAGAAATGCAAAGCTCTAAATAAACAGGTTAATGAATGCTTCAGCAAATCCAGGGTATTTCGGGTAAATTTTTAAGATTTTGAGGTTGATGTCAAAATGGCACAAGATAGTCCTGAGTGACGCTGTTAGCCACAGAGGCCATGGGATGAGGCCATGGATGGCCTTGCTATCACTTAGCCTTTATACAGTTCACTGGACTCATGTCCAGGCAGCCAAATTGAGTGATTCCAGCCCTGCTTGGCAGTTTCTGGTCAGGAATTTCTGGTCAGGAGTGTTGCCAAGAGTGGACTAACAGTGGGAAAAGACACATGGTGAAAGGCATGTGAACTAGAAGGTTATTTTTATAGAGAAATGTGGGAGAAGAAAAATTGTACAAATGTCAAAAAGAATTCCGCAAACTCCGTGCCAATAAGGTGGCCTGGATTTTCCCATTTGGGTGTCTACATACATTTAGTGATTTCAGTAACTGCCAAAGCCTTTCTTCGTTTGGTGCTGTGTAGATATAATCTCTGGCTCTAACTGTCCAAGGAACATGTCTATGCAACTCTCTCTTCCACTAATGAATTCAACTCAGTGCCACAGACATTTGTTGCCAAATGTCCCAAAATACCCAATTCTGCTGGGGAAAGTGGAAGGTAGAGAGATGGGTAAAAAAAATACTGCAGTCTAGACAAATGCACAAGACAGGAAGCTGAGCATCCTGAGAGTGACGTGGCGGATCCTGGAGGACATCCAAAGCATCAGAACCTTCAGAAACTACTGTGATCACACACGCCTGGGAGAGCTTCATGGTGACGTGACGTTGATTCGGGTCTTGATGGCTAGATTTGTGTAGATAAATGTTTTTCTCCTGGTACCGGGGACCGAACTCAGGACCTTGTGCTTGCGGGGCAGGCAGCAGAACCGCTGAGCTGATTCCCCGAGGCAGGACTAGATTCAAATGGAAAGGGAGAGCGTGATTTAGAGGCAATGAGTATTCTGGAATTGTGTTCGGAAAGAACAAGTATGGTTTGGTTGGAGGAAGGACAATATTTGGAGGTAAATGTGGAGGGCTCCCTGCCCTGGACTGATGTATACACTCCTATCAGGTCTCCTGACTTCAGGCCATCCGCACAATAACCTTGCTTGAGCCCTGACTATGTGCCACCCACTGAGTGATGTGGCTGAATGATCTCTCTCAGTTCTCACAAGCACTATAAGAGGTAAGCACTCCAGTTATTCCCATTTTACAGAGAGAGTAAATCAATCACTCATTCACAAACAACTAACAAATGGTCAGGGCAGATGCCACTACTGTCTGCAAGATCTCTCCTCTCGTTTCTTTATTATTGCACTGTCCAACACTATAGCTATTAGCCACAGGTGGCTATTTAAGTTAATTCCAAGTAAATACAATTAAAAATTCACTTTGGGCCGGGGATTTAGCTCAGTGGCGTTGCCACCTGTCTCACAAGTGCAAGGTCCTGAGTGCGATTCCCGGTACTGTGGGGAAAAAAATTCAGTTCTCAGTTTTCTAGC